CAGATTCCTTACCGCTAAAGCACCAGGGAAGCCCAAGTAATGTTGTAAATATGTCTCTTCTATGAACCTGTCCTAGAAGAAGTCCATTTCCCACTTCATTCATCTCTAAGTTCCAGAATCTCTCGACCATCTCCAAAGTGTCATCTGGCATTCTGTTTCAAAGGAAGGAAGACTCAGGTTGCAAGGGTACTTTAAATGCATGTACCTGGAAGGCCTGGCACAGTGGGACAGGTGTCAGTCTAGGAAAAGTCATGGTATCAGCTCCCCTGTGAATGGAGGGAGAAGGTCAAAGCACCATTGGAGGGACTTCTCTAGTGGTCCAGTAGTTAAGAATCTGCCTTGCAATGCAGGAGACGCGAGTTCAGTCCCTGGTCAGGGAACTAAAAGCCCACATGCCGTGGAGCAACAAAGCCCACTCTCTACAACTACTGAACTCATGCACCACAACTAGAGAGTCCATGTACTGCAACAAAATATCCTCATGAAGCAATGAAGATCCTGTGTGCTGCCACTAAGACCCAACACAGTCAAATAAATAAACATATTTTTTTAAAAAGCTCCATTTGATGGATGGATGTGAAAGCAACCATACCAGATCCAAGCTGGTGTGGGGAGAAAAGCCATATTTCAGGGATAGGAAGATGAAAACCTGGCTCCACCACTGACCTGCAGGTTTTGGCCAAGTTTCCTAAATCTACTCTCAGTTTTCCATCTATGGAGTGGCCATAATTCACTGCTCTCCCTGGTTTAAAGCAAAAGTAGTTAGTAAATAGATGTCAGCTCCTCTCTTATCAAGCATTGGAAGCCCCACACTGCTGCTACTGGCCACCTTGCTGGCCTTATGAGCCACAATATGCAGGAAGAAGGGAAGAGACAGGTGGCCTGTGTTCTTGTTCCAGATGTTCAGAAAACTCAGTTTGCCTCTTTGCAAAATGGAGAAGGGCCCAGTGAGGGAGTGGGAGTGGGAGGATTATAAAGCAGCACAAGGAAGCTTTGGGAGATGGTGGCTATGTGTGGTGATGCTTCTCTGGTGTGTACAGTTGTCAAACCTTACCAAACTGCATGCTTTTACATGTGTGCAGTTTATTGTATGTCAGTTATCCATCGATGAAACTTTATTTTAATGGAGATAGTGATACCCATGTATCCCCACTTGACACATAGAACAAGCCCAGATGTAGTTGTGGATAAGAGGACATTTGAGAAGGAAGTACCAATACCCACAGCGGTTCTGCTATTCTGGGCCCTCACCGGCACAAGACCCACAGGCTGGGAGTGCAGCTGGGAGCAGGTGTTCTGGAACAAGCTCACCCCTGTGAGCAGGCTCCCCTTTCACAAGTTGGATAAACAAGCTTGTCCAACCCACCAGGCAAGGCTGTGGGGTCAATATTCCAAATGGGCAGATGAGGAACAAACAGTGGCCTGAGGCAGGGCTTGGGATTGAGTCTCTTTCAACATCAGCAGTATTTTGTATTCAAGGACTTCACGGAGTAGATCCCACTTTGGGTGCACCCAAAACCATGAAAAATGGGCTTCTAGAAATAGTCAAGGACTTGGATGAAAAATGAAGCCTCCTGAGAGGAAATGAAGGCTCCTGACAGACTTTATCTTCTTGGGCTTCAAAATCACTGCAGATGGTGACTGCAGCCATGAAGTTAAAAGACACTTGCTTCTTGGAAGAAAATCTATGACAAACCTAGACAGCATATTAAAAAGCAGAGACATCACTTTGTCAACAGTTGTCCGTATAGCCAAAGCTATGGCTTTTCCAGTAGTCATGTATGGATGCCATAAAGAAAGCTGAGCACTGAAGAATTGATGCTTTTGAACTGTGCTGTTGAAGTAGACTCTTAAGAGTCCCTTGGACTGCNATGAGATGGTTGGATGGCATCACCGACTCAATGGACATGAGTTTGAGCAAGCTCCAGGAGTTGGTGATGGACAGGTAAGCCTGGTGTGCTGCTGTCTAGGGGGTCACAAAAAGTTGAACATGACTGAGTGACTGAACTGACCGACTGACTGAGAAGAATTCTGTTAATTCCTTCAACAGAACAGTGGAACAAGACTTCTGGGCCTTAGCAGCTATAGGATTTTCCAGATAAACAGCAATCCCCACACATGGATATTCCACATCTTCTTGGCCCAGTGGAGGTCCTTGGTGTTTCCAGGTTGCTTCTGTTCAAAGTCCTCCCTTGAGCCTCTTGATAATCCATCCTGTGAGTGACTCCTTCTCAGAGTCACCCATATGGAGCTGCCCTCAAAAGGGAACTAATGCAGGTGCCTATAAGAGACAAGAGGTTAAAACATGTATCCAGGAGGAGAAAGGTGGCAGATCATCCCACATTCCTTACCCCACATCTTCCCACATTTCCCCACAGACAATACTCTTTTCATTGCTCACCACCAGGCTCTCCATTACATTCCAGTCTCTATGATTCCTCCTTTCATGTCAACCACATACTAGTCTGGGTCCTAGAATTCCATGAGCAAGCAGGGAAGAGGGACACCAGGAATAATGGAAGAGATTAGTCATCTCTAAGGGGAAGTGGGAAGTTAGTCTTGCATGACCCCAGCTCCACGCTGATAAACAGGAGTCCAGGTTACACCAGTAAAAGGGAGGAAAAGAAGGACCTAAGAGGAAGCTGGAAATACACAATCTTAAAATTAGACTCAGAGCCCAAGAATTAGTATTCAAGGTTAAAAGGGTCAATGGCAATAATATTAATAATATTATTAATATTAATAATAATATTATTAATAAAATATTAATATTATTAATAATAATAATGTATGGGGCTTCCCTGGTGACTTTGTTTTTCTTTTATTATGTGTATGTAATGCCATGCCTCCAAGTACAGTGACCATCATAACGTGAGACACCAGCCCAGGTGCTCTCTCAAAGGAACAGTCTGAAGGTTAGGGAAGTAAACAACACCTGACGCTGTCATCTGGTGAGTAAGACTCTGCCCAGCCTTGTACTTCATGTTTCACGTGGAGGGCAGAGAGGGTTTGGGAGGCAATTCCCAGGTTCTGGTACTCTTGCTTCTGGGCTATGACAGCACTGTGTCTAGGAACTTATGACCTTGGTGATGGTGGGCTGAGGCCCCCATGGAAGAAAGAAATTGATCTTAAGCCTAGAGAGCCCAGAGTTGAATGGAAGGAACTTACCTGTAAGAGAGCTCTTTTTCTCTTCCTCCCTCTTTGCTGCTGCTAAAAGACGATTTTAAAAGAAAAAAGAGACTCAGATGTATAGAACAGACTTGTGGACTCTGTGGGAGAAGGCGAGGGTGGGATGTTTCAAGAGAACAGCATCGAAACATGTATATCTAGGGTGAAACAGATCACCAGCCCAGGTTGGATGCATGAGACAAGTGCTCAGGCCTGGTGCACTGGGAAGACCCAGAGGGATGGGGTGGAGAGGGAGGTGGGAGGGGGGACCGGGATGGGGAATACATGTAAATCCATGGCTAATTCATTTCAATGTATGACAAAAACCACTGCAATGTTGTAAAGTAATTAGCCTCCAACAAATAAAAATAAATAAATAAATTTAAAAAAAAAAATGTAAAAAAAAACTAGAGTTTTTAAACTAGAACTAGAGAGTTCCAGACCCATTTTTTCTCTTCTTATAATAAGCAAGCAAAAGATATTTATTAATAATGATGATGTGACTTTCTATGTGGATTTGAGACCTATCTTGTATCCATGTTAATCATTTTTGAAGTTAACTTTTAAAATATTTTCTACTGATTCTTCTCTACCAAACTCTAAGGAATTGTTTTGTGCATGTGGTCCTCTGTCGATATTTCAGCCAGTGACCCGCTCTGCTGAAAAGGGCACTGATTCTCAAACCTCGGAATAGATTAGAAACATCTGTTCTCCCTCCTACAGGATTCTGCTCCCTGAGGTCAGAGTGGTACATGATGCTGTTGTCCTTCCTGTGATTCTCTCAGATTCCCTTTGAAGAAGTTGGCAGAAAATATTTGCAGATACTCTCTGGTGGATTTGTCATCCCTTTCCTATCATCTTCCTCCAAAACACAAAATCCATGGCAGAGGGAGATATCTTTGAGGGTAGTTTGGACAGCAAGGAGATGAAACCAGTCAATCCTAAAGGAAACCAACCCTGAATATTCATTGGAAGGATTCATGCTGAAGCAGAAGCCCCAATACTTTGGCCACCCGATGTGAAGAGCTGACTCATTGGAAAATATCCTGATGCTGGGAAAGATTGAATGCAGGAGAAGGGGATGACAGAGGATGAGGTGGTTGGATGGCATCATGGACTCAATGGACATGAGTTTGAACAAACTCCAAGAGATAGTGAAGGACAGGGAAGCTTGGTTTGCTGCATTCCATGGGGTTGCAAAGAGTTGGACACAACTCAGCGACTGAACTGAAATAGAGGGAACTTGGAAATAAATTTTTTAAAGACCATTCATGAAATATAATTCACAAATATCAACGAATTTCACCCTTTTATTTATTTTTTGCCAAGTCATACAACATGTAGCTCGTAGTTCCCTAACAGGGATGGAACTTGTGCCCTCTGTATTAAATGCACATTCTTAACCAATGGACCACCAGCAAAGTCCAAAATTCACTCTTTTAAAGTGTACAATTCAGGGTTCTAAGTGTAGTCACAGGTTTTGCAACCATTACCAACAACTCCAACGAAACTTTCCCATCCCAGAAGTATGCACTGCACTCTTTAGCACTCAGTCCTCACTCTCCTCCCCACAGCCACTGGCAGCCGCTAATCTACTGCCTGACTGCACGTGCCTACGCCAGAAATTTCAAGCAAATGGAACCCCTCATCCATTATGTGACCTTTTATATCTGGGTTCTTCCATTTAGCATGACTGCAAAGTTCACCCATGTTGTAGGATGTATTGGTACTTCATTCCTTCCTAGGCCTAAATAATATTCCACTGTTATAACACATTTTGTTAATTCATTCATGAGCTGATGAGTATCTGGATGACTTCCACTTTTTAGCTATTACAAATATNGTCCTGGGAGACCACGTGCTGAGCTGCTCACCTGCCTGATGTACCATTCCTCCACGTCCCTGCGGTTGGTCTCCACCAAGGCCTCATACTGAGCCCTGGTCTCGTTGAGCACGCGGTTGAGGTCCACAGTGGGGGCGGCGTCCACCTCCACGTTGAGGCGGTCTCCCAGCTGGCTCCTCAGGGTGTTGACTTCCTGGTGGAGGAAGGGGACAATTCAAAGTATTTCAGAAGATCCTGATGCTCTCTTCTGGGAGAGTGCAATTCCACTGGTGACTATTAAGCTTTCAGAAGCTCCATTCCCTCTGATCCTCTCATTAACTGGATTCTATATTCAGTGAGTAACCTGTGTCTTCTACTCTACAGACTGCTTTCAAGTCCATGGCCTCTTTCCACCCTTGTACTCACTATACCACTCCTCACTTGGAGGTGCAGTGGTTTGGGCTGAGTTGACATGCACTAGACCATAATTTTAAAAACCCAAACACCCAGTCCAGTGTTCTTGCCAGTATACCATATAGCCTATGGTTTGAATCTTAGCCATGAGTAATAAAATGGATAGAGTCCAGCCAAAGAGGAAACAAAGAATGCATACTTCTTAATCTGCCATCCTGGGAGAGAATAGACCTAACTGGTCATTTCTTGATTTCACTAGTTGAACTTTTGATAAAGGAAATAGTTATCTGCTCATTTCAAGGCTAATCTCTTCACAGACTCAACACAGCTTAGCGCTTGGGCTTGAGTGGGTGTCAGACAGATATAAATTGGATCTCATGCCTACCACTTTCTAGACTAGAAGCTTCTAGAAACCTCAGGTGCTTCATCTGTAAGATGAGAACTATCTCTGGAGTTCTAAAGCACTTAGCACAGTGTTTGGCATACAACAAAACTCAATTAATATTAACTATCACCATTTACATTGTTCTGGAATTTAAAATTTGCACAGAATATCTGTCTTCTTTATCATGCAACTAATCAAGCAATGATGTGAGTGCTTTTCACTGAATAACAAAAGGAGCTCTGAATGAGAAAAGAGAGTGGGGTTGTGTTTCCAGCTCAGCCCTCTCTGCAGGGTGATCTTGCTAGTGTCCCCAGTGACTAAATGAAGAATTGGGGTAAAAGATTTCTGTGGCCCCATGTGTTCCACCCTGGGAATGGAAGAGGCTGTGGGTGCTGCCTGGCTGTTGACCTTTCCTTATTACTGGGCTTGCAAACTTCCTTCACCCTCATTCTTGATGCCAGCAGAAAAATCCTTGCTTCCTATCAGATGATTCATTCTCTACAAATCCCTTTTTGTTTAGAAAACAGATTCTTCAGCTAGTTGAGCCTCTCCCGCACCCCACGGTGGTTGGAAACAGGCCTCAGCAAGTTTGGTCCTGTTGGGGAGCTTCACCTGCTCGTGGTTCTGCTTGAGGCAGATCAGCTCCTCCTTCAGGGACTCCACCTGGGCCTCCAGGTCAGACTTGCACAGGGTCAGTTCATCCAGGATCCTACGCAGGCCATTCAGGTCTGCCTCCACCAGCTGCCTCAAGGACACCTCTGTCTCGTACCTGTGATGCAGAGAATCAGGGTCAGGCCTGGCTTTGACTCTAGTTTGGTTTGATTTGTCAGACATCTGGGAGTTTGGGCTTGTGGTTTTTACAGCCATCTCGTTGACTCAAGTTTTCAACATGGAGCCAAAGCTCCTGGAGGAAAAGGCACTGATAAGAATTGATGCCTTTGAACTGTGGTGCTATAGAAGACTCTTGAGAGTCCCTTGGACTGCAAGGAGATCAAACCAGTCAATCCTAAAGGAAATCAACCTTGAATACTCATTGGAAGGACTGATGCTGAAGCTGAAGCTCCAGTATTTTGGTCACCTGATGCAAACAGCCAATTCATTGGAAAAGTCCCTGATGTTAGGAAAGACTGAGGGCAGAAGGAGAAGAAGGCATCAGAGGATGAGAAAATTGGATAGCGTCACCAACTCAGTGGACATGAGTTTGAGCAAGCTCTGGGAGTTGGTGATAGAAAAGGAAGCCTGGTATGCTGCAGTCCATGGGGTTGCAAAGAGTCAGTCATAACCGAGCAACTGAACTGACTCATTGGAAGGACTGATGCTGAAGCTGAAGCTCCAGTATTCTGGTCACCTGATGTGAACAGCTGATTCATTGGAAAAGTCCCCAGTGCTGGGAAAGATTGAGGGCAGAAGGAGACGAGGGCGTCAGAGGATGAGATGGCTGGATGGCATCACCAATGCAATGGACATGAACTTGGGTAAACTCCAGGAGATGGTAAGGGACAGGGAGGCCTGGTGTGCTGCTTCCTCTGGGGTCACAGAGCTGGACATGACTGGGTGACTGCACAAAAACAAGTATTTTCTAATAAATGAAAAGACAGTGGATTTAATGGGATAAAAGCCCACAAACCATGAGATTTCCAAAAGTAATACACTTCCTCCAGTCTCCTAATTGGATTCTGTGCTTAGCAGAGCATCAGAGGACCATGACTTCTACACTGGATGGGATTCAAAGATGTCCTCTGAAAAGAAAAGCAGGCAAGGAGTCTGACTCTGGAGAAGAGTTGTCAGAGTTCTGGTTAGCAAAAGTTTGTCAATGTTTATTGGTATAGAAGACAGGCTAAGAGGAAGGAGAGCAAAGAGGCAAGACAACAGCCCCCTTGCCCACTCACTTGGTCCTGAAGTCATCTGAGGCCAGCTTGGCATTGTCAATCTGTACCACCAACCTGGCATTCTCAGACTTGCTGCACAGGATCTAGAAGACCCAAAACATTCTAGAATGAGCTTGGTTATCTTTAGCTAACAGCATCCCTACTAATTCACTTACATGGAAGAAACAGAATGAGAAATCACAGTGGATCTTATATAAGATTATTGCCCATGTGCAATAGTTGCTCAATATTAGAGAACTCAAACTTGAGGGGAGGAAGAATGCAGACATATGCCAGAAAAGTATCAGTACATACACAGTTTTTCCTTTTCTTTCCTAATAAGAAATACTAAGAAGCTGACAATAATAATAACTAACATTTCTCTTTAAAAACCTACTCTATCTCTGGCATGGTTGCAGGAGCTAAAGATACAAAAATGAGTGAACACTAAATTTTGCCCTCAAGAAACTTCCAATTCAGTGGAGATCAATATGTCAACTAGCAATTGGAGGGGGTTGAGTCAAAGACAGAGCTATGTGCGCCCAGCCATCCTGGATAGCTGGGTCCTCCTAAGGAGTTCATACTTTTTCTTGTTCTAATCAACTATTCTATGCCTTCACTGGGCACTGTGCACCAGGACACGCCCAGAGGCTTCTAGGTCAAGATGATGGGGTCAGGATAATTAAGTACACAGAAGAGGACATCAACAAGAGGTCAGAGCAGCCAAAAGCCCAGATAAGGGAGAAAAAAATTGGCCCAGTCCTTACAAAAAGTCTCGCTTGCTCAGCTTCCTTCTTGGGCTCAGTCTTTTCTCTCACCTCAGGGTAATAATTCCAGAGTTGGCAAATACCCGGAAGCATTCAGAGGCAGCTTTTAATTACAGTTTATTTATGCAAAGTGCTGCTACCTCCACAAAGACTAACACTATGCAAATACTTAGATCTAACAGTCCTGGTTCTAAAACGGACCCTCAGGAAAACAGAATGAAAAAGCAAGATGGCAATCGAATAGCTTATATTGTTCCTTAACCATATCTCGGATTCTCTCCCTACAACTTCCTGCTAGAGGCAATGGAGTACCCACCCCCTCACCTTCTGCTGGAGCTCCTCGATGGTCTGGAAGTAGGACTGGTAGTTGGGGCACACGAGGGGCTCCTGCTGCTGGCTCCGCTCCAGGATGCGGCTCTCCAGCTCCGCGTTCTCCCGCTCCAGCTGCCGCACCTTCTCCAGGTAGCTGGCCAGCCGGTCATTCAGGAACTGCATGGTCTCCTTCTCATTGCCATTGAAGGAGCCCTCGCAGAACCAGTTGCAGCTGCCCACATTGGCAGGGATGTTGCAGGCCCCGGGCAGGGTGGTACCACAGCAGCTGGAGGGCACGCAGGGCCTGGAGGAGCAGCTGGAGCGGAAGCTCAGGTTGGGCAGGCAGAAGTTGTAAGACATGGTGCTGGAGGGAGAGAGGTTCCCGACTGAACACAGAGTCCAAGTTCACCAAGTCACAGAGTTGTGGGTCCCCCTCCTCTTGGGAGCATTTATACCTGCTCTGCAGAGGGTGTGGATGTGGAAGACAACCCTTCTTTTCTTACTCACTTGGTTGTCAAAAGCCCTTCCCCTTGGTTTGCTATGTTTCCTCAGAAGAGTCCCTCAACTCGTAAAAGACTTTACTTGGGCTTCTTGCTAAGTCAGAACTCCTCTTCCATGCTGGGCATCAGTGAAATAAGAGCTTCATGGTGTGACTTCAAAGGGCTGGACTCATGAAAGCCCTGACCTTCATTACTGGGGTGTTGGTCCAGGGACACTATTGCTTCTTCTCTTTCTGGCTTGACAGCCCTGACTGTGGCAAGCCTCTGGTTCTTCTTGCTGAGATGGAAAAACATAACTCTTGCCCATATATCATCCACTAAGTCAAATTCCAAATTCATGGTTTTAGAAAGAGGAATAGATCCCTTCTGTGCTGCGCTGCACTTAGTCACTCAGTTGTGTCCGACTTTGTGACCCCATGGACTGTAGCCCACCAGGCTCCCCTGGCCATGGGGATTCTCCAGGCAAGAATACTGGAATGGGATGCCATGCCCTCCTCCAGGGGATCTTCCCAACCTAGGGATTGAATCCAGGTCTCCTGCGTTGCAGGTGGATTCTTTACCATCTGAGCCACCAGGGAAGATCCTCTCGGACCATTAAAATAGTTCCTAGTGGTTTTGTTTCCTAATATGATAGGCATATCAGGAAACATATCTGTAATCATGTCAATCAATAAAATAGCAGAGGGTCACCAGGATCAAAGTTCATACAGGGCACTGCGAGAAACAGAAGACAGGACCAGGGCTGTGATCAGAAGGAGCTCATACTTGTTGAACACCTGTACTAGCCCAAAGTGGTACTAGACACTCTTCACAATCATGCTATTATTCACATCTCACCATGACTCTTCAAGGTACCTGATAATATCCCCATTTTACAGATGGGAAAATGTAGACATACAGGACAGGTATTAATATGTTGTGAAGCCAGGATTCCAACACAGATCTCTGTTCTTTCCATCATACCATGCTGCTTAAATAAATGAACTACCTCTTTCCCTAAGTTATCTCCGCCTCTTCTCTGAGCTTTCATTTCACTTTGAGCATAACACTGCATGACTTATATGCTTATCTCTCCATGTATTTCAGTCCCCAAAAGCAGTTGTCATTCAGTTGTGAAGTTGTATCCAACTCTGCAACCCCATGGACTGCAGCATGCCAGGCTCTTCTATCCTCTACTATCTCCCAAATTTTGCTCAAATTCATGTCCACTGAGTTGGTGATGCTATTCAACCATCCCATCCTCTGCCGCCCCCTTCTCCTGTTGACTTCAATCTTTCCTGGCATCAGAGTCTTTTCCAATGAGTCAGTTCTCTGCATCAGGTGGCCAAAGTATTGGAGCTTCAACTTCAGCATCAGTCCTTCCAATGAATATTCAGGACTGATTTCCTTTAGGGTTGACTGGCTGATCAATCCTAAAGGAACTGGACACTTCTTGGCTCAATAGGGGACTTCCCTAATGGTCCAGTGGCTAAAAATCTGCCTGCCAATGAAAGAGACAAGTGTTCAACCCCTGATCTGGGAAGACCCTACATGCCACACAGCAATTAAGCCCATGCAACACAACTAATGAGCCTGTACTCTAGAGCCTGTGCTCTGCAAGAGAATCCACTGCAATGAGAAGCCTGAGCACTGCTACGTAGAGAGCACTGCATCTAAAGAAAGCCTGGGTGCAGCAACAAAGACCCAGGACAGCCAATAAATAAGTAATTATTTTACATGTAGCTGAATGGATTTAAAAAAAAAATCCATATTGCTGTCTACAAGAGATTCACTTCAGATCTAAAGACACACACATGGGATGGGATGGGATGTGAAAAGATATTCTGCACAAATGGAAATAAAAAGAAAGCTGGGGTAGCAATACTTATATCAGACAAAGTGGACTTTAAAATGAAGATTGTAGCAAAAGACAAAGGACATTACATAACAGTAAAGAGATGGATCCAACAAGGTATAATACCTGCTCCCAACGTAGCAACACCTAAATACATAAAGCAAATATTAACAGATATAAAGAGAGAAATAGACAGCAATACAATAATAGTAGGACACTTCAGTACCCCACTTGTATAATAGATAGATCACCTAAACAAAATATTAGTAAGGAAATATTGGCATTGAATAATAGATCATATAGACTTGCTAGATCTATACAGGACATTCCACCCCAAAACATCAGATTCATATTCTTTTCACATCAACAAGGAGCATTTTCCAAAATAGATTACATGTTAGGCAACAAAACCAGTCTCAATAAATTAAAGAAAATGGAAATCACATCAAGCATCTTTTCTGACCATAATGATATGAGACTACAAATCAGTTACAAGAACAGGACTGAAAAAAAAATATGTAGAGGATCATATCATCTGCAAACAGTGAGAGTTTCACTTCTTCTTTTCCTATCTGGATTCCTTTTACTTCTTTTTTTGCTCTGATTGCTGTGGCCAAAACTTCCAACACTATGTTGAATAGTAGTGGTAAGAGTGGGCACCCTTGTCTTGTTCCTGATTTCAGGGAAAATGCTTTCAATTTTTCACCATTGAGGGTGATGCTTGCTGTGGGTTTGTCATATATAGCTTTTATTATGTTGAGGTATGTTCCTTCTATTCCTGCTTTCTGGAGAGTTTTAAT